AGCAGGAATCTGAAATTCTCTTATTCTTGGAATGTCTATCTTTCCAGTTTAAGTAGAAGAATGAAATATAGTCGATTTTTCTTGCTCCAAGAGGGCCAGAGTCAGCTTTTTGATACTATAAATAGAAATATTGATGCATCTTTTAGATATATCACCTGACAGCAGAATGAAAAAGATAAATTAAACTCTGTTGTTTTTGTTAAGTCTCCTTGAGATTACATTAAACTAGAAATATTTAGGAATACTGCAGTTGCCAGATTAGATCAGATTGAGCTGTGGTCTGTTTTGGGAATATCAAGTCACTATACAAGATCCACATCAAGAAAGTAACAACTAGACTATTTACAAAAGGTTTTTTTTGGAAGAAGAGAGGAATTCCTCTCTGAAACATACAGTTTAAGTAGAAGGGCATCTGCACCCACTCTTCTATGCACGGTCACAGTCACTGCAGGAGACTCGCCCTGGCATCTCTGCTGGCCCCCTACCCATAGATGTTTCACAGCCAGCCTGGGATGATCTACCGCCCTTCCAGGGCAGGAGGGGTGGGATTCATCTCAGGTACTGTAAGATATCTGTAGCGTAGTCACAGATGTTTGAGCTGATCATCCAGGCTCTTTCTAGTCTAACTGAGTCAAAAAGCACTCTAGAAAAGATTTCACCTGGCCTGTAGACGTCTCCTGCAGAGGATAGCAACACCTATCCTCTGCATGTTGACTCTAAAGGCAATCACGACAACTACTTCAGGTGTTGTAAAGGGCTAAATTTGGCCATCTGAATGCCAAGCATATCGTTAGCAATGAAACTCCTCATGGAGCGCATAGCCAGCTCCTGAGCTCTACAAAACACTCTTTAGGCTCCACAAAAGGCTCTTTACCTGCCTGTGTCCCTTGGCAAAAGTCTCATTCACATTTCAGAGTCCAGAGCTTAAGCTTGGGCATTCCAGGAACACAGGACGGTCGTTCGAGAAATGAGCCTTGGCGTGCATGCTGGGTGTGGAGCTAGGACACAAGTCCCCAGCAGAAATGTCTCCTAATCGTGTCATTCACAGGAAGATGAAATACATCCAGAAAACAGCTGTCTTTGCAAATGACCTAAACTCTCAATTTCCAGAGCTTTTCTAGAGTTCTGCTAGTTCTCTTTGGGCCATTGACTTCTCAGTTTACATCCTCTGGTACATATTTCCCCCAAGCTAAAAAAAACACAATGAAACCTGAAAACCCCAAATTTTTCATTTCCAAAATTTCCTAACAAAGCATTAGCATCTTGTAAACTTTCACTAGTGTCACACACAGTTGATCTGAGGAGGTAGGTGCTTGCTGCCTTTGTAGACTTCCCACAACACCAGATGAGGATGCTCTTCGTTTCCCAAAATGTAAGGTAAAAAATAATCTATCACACATAACAAGGAAGAGGAGGGAAGGATGCTGCATGGATAGATGTAGCTCCTGAAAGCTCAAACCCAGTAGCTTGGAATAGTTGGGAAATTGGGCAGCATGTAAAAGCTCTAAAGACTCTGTCCCTGCTGTCATGGTGTGACTGAACTCTGTATAGCACCATGAGTGTTGGTTAGTGAGAGAATGGTTGTTAACATTAGAAAATCTCCTGGCATCCACATGAGCTTTTTATTTGATGGGGAATCTAATTTAGCATTTTTGTAAATGGAAAGTAAATGTGAAAGCTTTACAGCACATCACTTTAGGTAACAAACACAGTTTAAATATTCCTATGTCATCTTCAGCTGTGAAACACGCTTTCCTGGCCAGCCTACCATAGATGCATCCTTCAGACCTATTTCCTTCTACATGCAATACAGTATTTTTATGTTCTATTTTGCAGGCACTTTGGCGAAAGTGAGGGGTCTTTCAGCCTATACTTTAACTAGCAGTGTGATTCAGGCAGTGAGTGTTTAAGCGGGGCCACGGTGTGACATTCACAGCAAGTCTTTGTGCCTTCAGAACAATCTACAAGGTCAGACAAAAAAAGCCTAGTTTGTGTGCTACAGCAAGGTTAAAAGCGCATGTATTAACAAGACGCACCACTCCATGAAGTCACTCGTGTCCAAACATTACGCACTTTGATCTGCAGATTTCAGTAGAGATTCAGAACAAAAACCATCAGCTAGTCCCACCTACGAATCTTGTCCTTGTGAAACACCAACAGTTCATCAATGACTGGAATCCCAGTGTTCATATACCTGTGATATTGTCATAACTCCTGAAATTCATTTCAATGTGATCCCACTCCAGCACCATGCAGTTCTCCATGCTGGGCTGTGCAATGGCTACGAACACATCATTCTTTGAGTTGAACGTATCCACTGAAACTGACTGGTAGGGCAAAATCTGGTGAACAACAAAATCTAGAAACATATTTACAACAATTAGGATACATCCTTGCTGGAAACACAGATTAAGTGGTTGCTGATTGTAACCATTAACACTGAAAAATGAGTTAAATACTCTGGATTTTGTATAACACTAGCATGGAAGTGTCAGTGCTCACGTCAGGCATGCAGCAACAGGGGAAAGCTTCTCCTGCTTTAGGCTTCATAAACTGTCCTCTAGAAATACAGTTGCCAAGGAGATCAAATAGGTAAATAGTGGCAGAAATCAGATTTTCCAGCTAGGCTGGCTGGTATCAATGAAATCAGGATATCAAGAGAGAAGTCTCTTTCCCCACAGCTGGAAGTTGCTTTCCCGTCAAGTGAAATGGCCTTGCTAGAATCACTTTCAAGCTGAGAGACAGCAACTTCCAGCTGAAGTCCAATAACTTCTTAAGTCATGCAAATTTAATCACTAGCAATTTGTGTTATGCTAAACCAGGCAGAAAGTGAAATGATAATCTGAAGTTTGCCTGGGGATAACCCCATTTCGCCTAGACCATAGACAAAATGGTGTAATCAAAAACTCAGTTAACATAACGTTTTATGGGGCATTGTAAAGTAGTTTAGGCATAAAATATAACCAACCTGCAAATCACTATCCAGTGGAAAACTTGTTCTAGATACTAAGACTGAGGAGTTGGAGCAACCCGTAAAGACTAAGAATGTAACTCCAAAATTGAAGATTTCTTCTCAAAATACAAGTGCCTTTGTAAATTTAACTCTGAAGTTAACCCTGGGCTAAGTCAGCAGTCAGCACAGAGCCGATCTGGGGCAAAGCGAGGAGACTTGGGTCTGAATTTGATCTTGGGCAAGGTCATTATTATCAGAAAGAGAAATTAGTATAGCAGACCTGACAAAGAAAGCCAGCACTTGGGTCTCGAACGTGGCAGAAGGCCAGCACTGAAGTGATGTATGGATATAGATATATAGAAAAGGAAATGCATCTTCCACTACAATGGAGTTTCTCTGCAGAACCACGCACTGCTCTGTTCCAAGCTGTATTTGCTAGATGCTTTCACCATGCACTCCTGCGTTGGAAGGGCCTGAGCATCCAGGGATTTTGGTGAAATGGTAATTAAGTCCTCACTCGAATCCCTCATTTTAGTGCATTATGAAATAATTGTTTTTGAATGAAGAACTATCTGTCTCTGCATGCTTGAAAGCCTTGCCCTTGAGGAGTTACACTTCTGGAGAATAAAGATAGATGACTACCATTAAACAAATAGAGCAGATTCTACAGCTGCGAAAGAAATGACAGTCTCTATTCTTCGAGGGACTACTATAAATAGAGTTTGGGCTTGATTCATAAATGCTGGTAGGAAAACAAGAAAGTTATCTTCATTCTCACTGGGAAAATACTGGAGAAAACTGACACTGAAGTATGCAGAAAGTAAAAGTAAGTGATAAATCATGAAAGGTAGCTAAGGGTAGAACAATAGCAGATACAGTCACAGAAAATCAAATTATTTTTTAAATCTTGAGGAAAAAAACCCTCCAAAAATCTAAAGCTGAAAAAGACATCTCTTGAAATCTGAACAGTTGTGAAACACTTCGAGGGAATCTGTGAGTTAAAACAAACCAGTCTGTGTGTTAAAACCCACTGCTCATTCAGAAGCTCATTCAGTGTTAACACAGCTATTTTTACTTGTACCTGTCATTGGGCTCTTTATGTCACTGGATGAGTAAAAATGGGTAACAAAATCAGTCATAATCAGTAAAAACCAAAAAATGTCATTTATAGCACCAGTTGGAAATACTAGACTCTAATGTGGAACTGGGTTACACTGTAAAGAGATGCTGCCACATTAGGCTTGCCAAAAATTTAGGTCTTGGGGGCTCAATTTAGTTTTGCAGGCAGGTCCACATGCCTTGCTTTAACGCTAGAAAGACCTTGTAAATACAGGGTTTCACAACACCTTTCTCTTTTAAGCTGGAACAGCCTACTCAGGAGAGGGAAGGGGACGCGGGCCTCACTTCCCCCATGCTGCTGGCTGCACAGGCGGTCACTCTCTTCCTCTCACCCTGATGCACAGTTTTACTCTCCCTGTCTCAGGACACGTGGTTTTAATGCTGCTTTCTGCCAGCTGAGGGCTGGGGTGGTCTCCCCATCCTCCAGCCGCCTGCTTCGCCTCTGCTCCTTTGGCTGTTGAACTGGTGTGAGCCGTCATGGATGAGGGACCCAACACTGCTGCTGTTGGGCTGACTTCCCTCCCGGCAGCTGCTTCTCTGGCTGATCCCAGCACACAGGAGTGCCAATGCTGGCAGAGCAGCCAGGGAGCATGCGGGGAACACTGGAGGTCACCAAAGAGAAATTGGAACTAGATAATCTTTGAGGTCCCTTCCAACCCAAACCATTCTATGACCTGTTTGGGCAGCAGCTCCTAAACTGCATCCTGCGACTCGGCTGCCAGTTGGTCCCCCTGTCCTCATGGCCCTTCTTCCCAGCAGTGGAGACTTCCACTCCAGGTGAGGCTAGCTGGGGGTGCCGTCAGGGAGCGTTAGCCATCCCTTCCCATCTCTCCCCACGGTGGCATGGGAGTGAGTATGGAGCAGGTAACTCTTAATTTGCAAACTACCTTCCTTCCAGCCAGCGGGGAGGGGACCACCTCCAGAAGGCAGCCTCAGCTAAGTAAAGACAGAAAACACCAAGCTTCTGAAGCTTGGCGAGATGATCCTTGCTGGCAGGTCTGGGCAAAGCAGGTCCCAGGCACGCACACAGCCCGTTTCCAGTGACTGTGGGAGTGCGAGGCCTGTTTTCCAGTCTCCTGAAAGTGCGTGCACGTTCCCCTGCCATGCTTACAGCTACAGCACAGCCTCCTCGCAGACTCTTGCGGGAGAAAGACAAGAAACAAAGTGAAACGGCTTAACCCGCTTCCACGATGCAAGCTGTGAGAAATGGAAAAGAGATGCTATCACAAAAAGAGTTAAAAGTGCAGATCACCAACGGTCTAAATCATTTTGTTCTCTGGCTTTTTTTTTTTTTTTAATTTGGCAGCACGTCTCTCCTCCCATTACCATTGTAGCAGTTCAGCGGATGCAATGAACTGATGGAGCTGCCAAGATGTACATTTTACCAAGCAACTGCTTTGTTACCTCATCCTACATCCAGTCACAGAGTACCAGAGACCACAAATGATGGAAAGTCTGATCATGCCTGGCAAAGGAGGGAAACATGATACTAGAGACTAACATGAATGAAAGAGGTTTGCCGAGCACTGCCCATCACCGAGTGGGAAAGGAGGACACACCTACAGGCTATGTTGCTTTACTTCAGAACGTGGTACAAGCCTGAGCTTGTGATTAACCAGTCCTCAGGGAATGAATATGGGCATATTTACACTCCCTTTGGATCTGGGGGAGGCAAAGGCAGAGAAGGAGAAAGCAGCTGTGGCCTGACGCCACAGACTACCGAGGCCACCGGAGCGTTACAGCTCGAGCAAGGCAGCTTCAGTGCAGGGGACATGGTGCTGTCTCAAGGGTGACACATTCCTGAAGACTTGCATTTCTACTCATCTCTGGTTTGTCTCTTTTCTCTCTGGGTCATTTCTGCACACAGTCTGTCCCTCTCGGTCACTTTGTAAGGATGCCAGAGCTCCACGCCTTCTGCCCCCTCCACCTTCACCACGCACCGGAGCTCTGGGAAGCCTGCTGCTGCTGCCGCCAGGCCAGAGGGGTTAGGCACAGAGCCTTCCCTCACAGCAGCCAGAGAATGGTTTGAAAACATCCTTCACTATCTGAAGAGTGTATTACAGCTGTATGCTGCGCTGCGAGAGCACTTCTCTGATGGCATTTGAACAAATATTCAGCTGGGCAATCCTTGCACCACGTAATGCCTTAGCTCCCCAGCAAACTCTACAGCATGTGAAATTAGACTTATGCTTGGTGTAATTTCATTTACAGCAGACAAAGGGACTAACATTAGGGGTGAATTTTGCCTGTAGCAAGTTTATAGTTAGGTTTCTAGGTACAAAGAGATGACAGAGGGCAGGTAGGTTGGTATAGGTCTGAGGACCAGGTAGATAAGTCTTGTTCTCGCACACTGTTAGTGCAGTGCAATTGCTTAAACTAGATGATAGAAATGAAATAAAGCCTGATTTTACTTTGTACTTTCGCATCTCGGTGATTTGGCAGACACAGGAACATAACTTTGGTACCGTTCTAAGCTACATTGCTCTCCTGTTTTTGACATCCTTTCATGTGGCAGATAATTGCGCTTTACCTCTGCTGCTCTTCTGACATAGTTTTGAATTCTGAGTTAATTCTCTTTTCCTTTACACACAGCCCTTGGATTACCTTTCATACTTTGTCCTGTAACTTTATTTTACATTACTAGCAATCAACTTTTCTATTGTGTCTTAATGATGATGACTGCCTTGATGACAGATGAGAGCTCGAATGCTCTAATATTACTGTAGAGAAAAAAGGGAGAGTGCTGACATCATATACATGAAAGATGAAAAACAATACTTGCAGCTGATATTCTCAGTTACATGATGTGACTACATTTAAAGATAGGTAACTGCGGCTGTTCAGTCATAAAATATAAGCATAACCACATGCAAGTTTCTCTTCACTTCCTTCAGCATGCTTTACATTACCTAAAATAAAAATCAAGATCCTAAACAAGACAGTAGTCAGAATATTATTGGACATTTTTCTCCGACTTAATGGAGTTCCATGAAGACCTGCTGGCAGTATTGCCGCCACATTTGATGCTATTAAATTGTGGCCTATTGAATAAAGATAACAGATATAGCCACATTATTTGAACTTCTTTTCATTGCTTTCTGTGAAATACAGAGATTTTGGGAAGCTCATCTGCCATAACTATATGGCCTTATTCCACATAATAGAAAGCATTCTGTGATGAAAATTAAGTCACAAAGTGAGTCATAATCAAGTCTTTTGGCATATGAATAGTCAGAGCTCTTCTCCCATTATCACTTAATCCAAATAAAAACTCGCTACTTATTTTGGCTTCAAAATGTAATTTTCCCATTTTATGCTTGTTCTAGTACTCCAAGTGCTTTGTATGTAACCCTTTCCTCCCCCCAGGTCATGTTCACAGAAGCAAAAGGGTATAGTCTAAACTTCTGATATTTAACCATTTGTAGTGTGCTTAGAAATATACATTCTGAATACCTGTAGTGGTGCATTCATAATCAAAACTTGTCACATCATTTAACTTCTTATCCTGATATTCTGCTGGACCAATACACAGGACATCAGAAACAGTGGAATTTGTCATCTTTAACCACAAAAACAACCACTTGGCTTTGCAGTCACACTCAAATTTATTTCCCCTTAAATCTCTAAAAAACACACAGAAATAAACATATTTGAAAAGGTTGATAGCAATATGAATACTACAGAATTGTTATCACCTTGACATACTGAATTTAAAAATATCTGAGTAGCCTTGAATTGGTTTTGAACTGAGAACAGGGAAGTTTCTTAAGTTTTATTTCGACTCTCTTCCTATGAGTAAGTTTTGACTTTCCTTCACTGAGGCATTGTCCTTGGAAAAACTGTTTCAATCTAGGAAATATGCCCACGTATAATCTTACTAATAGAGCACTGTGATTCACCTGTAAAGTCACTCATGTTTGTAAGTTTTCATAGGATTAGGACTATAATGTAATAAATCCTGACAGTGTGGTTGTCTGCTGCAAGCCTCCTTCCCACCATCTACACAGATAAATCCCATTCCTTCACTAAACCACTCCAGTACCGCTGTCTGACGGAGCGGCCTTGCTGGTACCATTTCTGTGTTACATTAAAATACAGATGTAAGGCTCGTATTTTTAGAGTCACTGCTGATGTGGAGTCAATTTAACCTACCCCTACTAATGTATGTGTAATTTCAACACTGTACCTGGTTTTCAATCCCTTGGCAATTTCTGTGGCTTACAATTATACTTTGCTATTTGGGAGAGCCAAGCCAAAAATAGGGGAAGCTGACTAGCAGCTTGGGTGGGAGCGTCGATCTGCTTGAGGGTAGGAAGGCTCTGCAGAGGGATCTGGACAGGCTGGCTGGATGGGCCGAGGCCAATTGTGTGAGGTTCAACAAGGCCAAGTGCTGGGTCCTGCCCTTGGGTCACAACAACCCCATGCAACACTACAGGCCTGGGGAAAGGTGGCTGGAAAGCTGCCTGGTGGAAAAGGACCTGGGGGTGTTGGTTGACAGCCAGCTGAATATGAGCCAGCAGTGTGCCCAGGTGGCCAAGAAGGCCACTGGTATCCTGGCTTGTATCAAAGAGTGTGGCCAACAGGACTAGGGAAGTGATCGTCCCCTGTACTCAGCACTGGTGAGGCCACACCTCAAGGACTGTGTTCAGTTTTGGGTCCCTCACTACGAGAAAGACATTGAGGTGCTGGAGCGTGTCCAGAGAAGGGCAACGAAGCTGGTGAAGGGTCTAGAGCACAAGTCTGATGAGGAGCAGCTGAGGGAACTGGGGTTGTTTAGCCTGGAGAAAAGGAGGCTGAGGGGAGACCTTCTCGCTCTCTACAACTACCCAAAAGGAGGTTGTAGCCAGGTGGGTGTTGGTCTCTTCTCCCAAGTAACAAGTGACAGGACAAGAGGAAACGGCCCCAAGTTGCACCAGGAAAGGTTTAGGAATATTAGGAAAAATTTCTTCACCAAAAGGGTTATCAAGCACTGCACCAGGCTGCCCAGGGAAGTGGTTGAGTCCCCATCCCTGGAGGTATTTAAAAGCCACGTAGATGTGGTGCTTAGGGACATGGTTTAGTGGTGGACTTGGCAGTGCGAGGTTAACAGTTGGACTTGATGATCTTAATGGTCTTTTCCAACCTAAACAATTCTATGATTCTATGAATTGGTTATACAAGAAAACACTGGTAGTAAGTCAGCAATGTGCTACAGCTGCACGAAAACAAGAAAAAAAAGCATTTTTTTTTAATGAATGCCTTTTACTAAAATAATCTCAGGGAATATATGCAACAGTAACAGGAAAAAATGTTCAGCAAAACTGTAGTTTTAAAATTCATTGTCTCCCTTTCCCTAAAAAACAATTTATATGAAACATCAGAAAGAAGTACAATAATGCAAGCTAAGTACAGCATCACAAGAAGCAACAGTTATTTACGAAATTGCAGTTATTTTAGAGGAGTCTACCAAGCAAACAATTTTAAAATGAGAAAAGCTAGAATAACAAAATGCCTACTTCTTTTCTGTGCACCACACAAACCCAGAACATAAAACTCAGAGTAAAGGAGGGACAGAAGCATGCAGTCAATAGAAAGAGTCTCATTACTTACAGTTCAATTAAAGAATCTAAATCACTGAAGACATCCCTTGGCAGAGCTTTGAGATGGTTATTGGCCAAAGAACTAGAAAAGAAAGTTAGAGCTTAGTATCATTGCTGTCTCTTGTCTGGCTGACTCTTACTAAGTCTGAGCAACTTTCTGCTACTATCCAGCCACTGGCATCGTTAATAGTTACTAGGAACAGGCACATATTAATTATTCTTATTGAAGAATGGTGATTGCTAGAAGCTGACGTAAGTAAAATTTATTAAATTAATTAATTTTTTTTTATTGCCCAAGTGAAACGTAACATACAGAGCAATCACTGAGCGCGCTGAACAGAAACAGGAATGTTAATCACCAGTGGGCAGTGTGACGGTGGTACTGGTGCAGCATCCACAGGTCACAGCTGCACCCCAGCACGAGCTGTGAGTGTCCCCAGGCAGCTGGACACGGCGCAGTGCTGCCCCAGCAGGACCTTTTTAAAAGCCATTTTTTAATTTGTGGAAGGCACATTACTGACAGCCAGAAGAAGCTGACGCATGGAGGGGAAGGGAGGTGGGAGGTTTTCTACGTGGCAGGAAAACCAGCGGTCCCCCAGAAGAGTTTTGTTCAAGTACAAATTACTCTACCAAGTGTTAAATAACTTACAGGTGAGTCAGGTCTCGAAGGCCACGAAATGCATTTCTTGAAATGGTTTCAATTTTGTTTCCTTCAATGAATCTAGGCAAAAAAATAAATATTTTAAAAGACTTTAATTAGCAGTATTATTATCATCACCAGTGCTTTAACCTATGGTCTCCAAATTCAGCAGGTTCCTGGGTCGCCCCTTCAGACTTAAAGGTGGGGAAGTCTCGGTGGAGCTGCTCACATTCCCTTTTCCCCTTTCCTTGGGTGGACCATGAGGAACAATGCAGGTACCGGGCAGCACAAGGGAGAGCGTGTGACACAAATATCCAGCAGAAGGGGAACAAAATGAACAAAGCAAAAACCATTATTCCTCGGTGGTTAATCCTCTCAGGGTTGTTATGTGAGGCAAGAGATTGTGTAGGAGAGGCCTTCGAGATGGACTTCAGAAGCTAAAGTCCTACCTTCCTCTCATGAATTGCCTACATTTTAAAACCACGGGACAGCACAGCAGCGCTGGGGCTGCCCCGGCTGCAGATGGACGTTCTGATGGGGAGGTCCCGTGGCTGCAAGCACAGTGCCACCTCCACACCCACACAGCCCTGACGGGAACTGCGGCTACATACTGGTAGACATCTGAAGTCTGCATAAATGGCAAGACCGCTGCCTTGTTTTTCTTCTCACTGCCACAGCTCAGCTCTCTCCAGCCAGGACACCACCTCTGCAGGGTGCCCAGCTGCACACAAGTCACGGCCCCGTGTGCTGGGGGAATAATTACAGGCACGTATCGATTCCAGGAGCATGCCGCTCCTCTTGACTGCATGTCAGCATTTAAAGAAAGAGCTGATATTTGAGCATCTTGACCCACAAGCATTTGAGGACACATCCCTAAATACACCATCAGCCCTGCAAAGCGATTGCTGCCAGGTGGCCATCAAGATATTGCACGGTACAGCTGTACCTGGATGAAGACAACTGCATGCTGACTTTATAAAATGTTTTATGGGATAAAAGTGTCTCCCTTCCTTCATCCTTGTTTGACTTCCAGGAAAATAAAGGAAAAATGCTATGAGCCAAGGTCTGTTCTGAAGAGAGTCAAGATGGGGATGCAGGAGATGACAAGTGGTCTGGGTTCTGCAGTTTAGATATAGCCAAAATCCTTCATGAAGTGACCGGGACCCTGACTGCATGCAAAGGGTGCGGATGAGAAAGCGTTGTGTCTGCGCGGGGGTTGTCAGAAGAGTCAGCCGTACTCCGTTACAAGGCTGTCTGGGGACACGAATTCAATCCGCAGAGCAGAGAGCCAAACTGCCTCCTGACACCCTCACTGGCACCTGGCATCCCCGCACAGTGCCAGCTCACCGGTCCCTGCAAATAAACGCGACTGCAGCGAGACAATGCAAATTTGGGCTGGGACTCAGTAATTTGCTGGATTTCTGAGTCACCAAACCTGGCCTCGAAGAGATGCTACCCTGGGAACGCGACTCTGATCACCAGCAAAAGTCCCGTCTTTATCAGACCCGTCTTATCTAGACTCTGTACATGGAGCCAGTTAGTTTAAGGGTGCATTGAACACCACTATCAGTGCTGCAAGTGCAGCAGGACACAGATATATATGTATATAGAGAGAGATATATAGGTATTTGCTGTGGGTGCTCCCCAGCTGCTCTTCATCTGGAGACTTTGCTTTGCACACAAAGAAACTCGTCATTCTGGTTTGTCATTTTTCTTATTCTCCATAAGGTCTGATCACTGGTAACTGAGACAGGAGTTATTGAAGCTGTAATGGTGTTACCAGCTGCAGGGCCAAAGAAAACCCTAAAGAAAGGCCACTCACACCTAGTCCCCAAACGGTGGAGGTGCGATTTGCTGGGAAGAGGAAGAACTCTGTGGACTTGGCAGGGAGGGTGACCACAACCATTAACTGAGACCACTTGTTCGGCTGCTGCTAAAGGACACTGAAACTCTAAGGCTTTACCAGTCTTCACTCTGCTCCCCGGTTTGCAGCTGCCAACCAGGGACAGAGACTTTCCCTTTGACCAGCTGAGGAGGGGCAGGATTTTCTTCTTTTAGACAGGGGTCTGGCTGCAGTCACCAACACAACTGCTACGACTTCATATGCTGCTGGGACAAGCTCCACATTAGACTCACCAGCGCTTGAAAGCAAGTCATTAATTAAACAACATACGAATGTTTTTCTTCCTTTTTGCAGACATTCTGCAAATTACTTTTTTTCCTGTAGACATATGGAAAAGAGAGTGAGTATATAACTCACTATCGCTGAAATATCCAGATGTAGCTGAATCCTGGATTTCAGCATATACCATTTACCATTATCCTCTATTTCTTGGTCTGCAAATTCCATTGTTGGCTGCTCCGCACGGAGCAGACTAGTAGTCCTGAGTGTACCCCACCTTAATACCTGCTTGCCTGCAAGACTTTAGCAAGAATCAGTTTTGTGAGTACTGGTTTTCCTTTTAAAAAAAGACAGAAATGTTTTCCACAGCCACCTTTCGGCACAGGAAGGTGGGTGGAAAGATGAATTTTTTTCAGATCATATTCAGAGTTTCAAACATACCAGCTCGTGTCCAGTAACACAGAGAAATGGCAGTCCTTTGGAGTATGAAGTGAGGACAACCTGGTACCAGGGCTAATACTTTTTTTAAAAGAAAAAAAGGTGACCTAAAAAAAAAAAAAAAAGATCGGGAAATGAAGGTAATGTAAAAATCAACGAAGAAATGAACTGAGTAAAGAAAAGGAAAGTTAAATAAATTTAAATAATTATATA